GGTGCGCTGAGTGGGAGAAGCAAAGTGAGAGATAGTGGGAGCTTCTGAAGACGTCAGATGAGGGGGATCGTGACCTTTTGGTACGGTGGCGCGGAAAGGAAACACAGGAACGAGTAGCGCATATGGACTGTTTCGGAGTGCAGCTCCCAGGATAGACATCTTGAAAGTCGTCCGGCTTCTGTATACAGCCAATGACGCTGATTGCTGGGATGCATTCATCCCTCCGCGATAACTGCTGAGCGATAGCTAGACGGCGACACAGACAACGACGAGCACTCGAAGACGAACACCGTGAGCGACTTGCTAGTGGATATATGCGGCCCGGCTGCGGGGTCCTCATGTGCCCAGCAGCGGGCCAGTGCTGCTTGCATCGGCTAACACCGTCGATTGTGATGCACTACTCAAAGGGATCATTAGTCTCGGGAGCCCTTGCATACACCAAAGTTCTACGACGTACCAGGGTAATTGCCGGACTCCCGCGAGGAGTAACGCTGCTAGAGGACTACAAGAACAGCTGGGCAGGTCCCGATACAGCGAGGTGTGTCTCTTGGCTTGACTGGGTTGGACAAGCACCCACAGTTAGGCACGCGGGTTAACATCGAGAAGAGACAATGCATACCACACGTCTGCCGGAGAGGATGATTGTGGTCGCCGGAGTACTGCGTATGTAGCTCAGCTACCTTCGCCATCCGAAGGATCAGTATGGTCTCTACGTGTTATGAGACTCCACAGCTCAAGGTAGGCTGCGCGATCATGGAGAGTCACAGCTGCCGTCGAGCAGCAAGATGCCCCTGCTATGACGACGGAGCGAGGTGACGGATTCGAGAGATATGGGCCGCATACACTCAATGAACAATTGCTCTCTGATGTTGGCAGTACTTCTGGGTCAATAGGTACCGCATATATACCATGTCAGTCATGGAAGTCGTTCGCAGACGAGAGTTGACGTTGCAGGGCGACGAGCTTGGACTCAGAGACAGCGAGGACGAAGCTCGACACGAACGCGACGAGGCCGCAGGAGACCAGCGGAGGGGGCGGCGGCCCGGCAAGGCCGGTGGAGCTTACAGCCTAACAGGCGCCCGTCGATCGGGACGTTCGAAATCGAAGCATCTAAGGCATTAAGCGCCCATAAAGCGTCACCGAGAGCGCCCACAGCGCGCGCCGCCTACTGTACATGTTGCCTTCTCCCTCCTCCAACGCAGACGCGACATACGCATGTTCGCAACGCAGAACACGAGACAATCGACCCAGAAAATCGCACGTCATGGCAAGTAGCCGGAAGCCTTCACACAACCGGGCATGAGTGCCCTCGAGCGTCCGAGTTACTCCATCGTTTGCAGAAATTTGTTCGCCTTTCACTGCCGTGTCCGGTGTCCGGCATGGGCGGGGGTACGGACCTGCGGGTGAACTGTTCCGGAGGTGAGAGCAACGTCATCTGCACAATGTCCCTGCGCCACCACGATTGACTCAAATCCGCAACGCTAAACTGACCCTCCTGCTGCCCTCCAGGTCTGACATTCGCAGGACATATGACCCGGCGCACTTTTCCAGCAAATCAATAAGAACTGCTCATTGTTCCGACCGACCGACGCGTTGACTCACACCCAGCATTTTGCTGCCCTCGAGACCTGGCGGCGGCGTCGCTACGCTCGTGGGGTGCACTCCCGACCCCGCCACGGAATAATCTTCCGGTATACTGCGATCGTGAGTACCCCGCTTCTGCGTCTGCTCTCGCTGCTGATTTGGGGCCCCACCCTCGGTCGTGTAAATTGTATGCCGGAAAGGCGGTCCGGGGGTGCAATCTGCCTTCGATGACGGCACGCGAAGGGGGAGAACCGTGATCACAAGACACTCGCGACGCGTATCGGCTGCCCATGAGAGTCGCCATGAGCGGCAGCGACGAGCTCGGCAGAGGAATTTGCCTTCTGCGATCCTCCCCGCCGTCTTCGCTCTTTGGCAACTCCCGACCGCTCGACATCTCGATCTTCGAGGGCGCAATATAAAGCTGAGCAGGCCGCACTCGACCCTCTCGTACTCTTGTTCGGGTACTCCTCCTTCCTGCTTGTGACCTCGTCCAAGTCGAGCGACGCCAGAGCAGCGCAAGATGTCCAAGCTTGCAGGGAGAAAGTTGTATTATACCATCAACGCCGTCGCGGGACTGGCGATCTTCTTGTACGTCTTCTTCGCCCTCATGACACCGGTTGCACGCTCACATGAGGATGCAGCTTCGGCTATGACCAGGGCATGATGGGAGGCATGTCTCCATCTTCTTGTGCATGCACCGGCTACTTCATTGATCTCATGTGCAGGTGTCAACACCTCCCCCGACTACGTTCGGGTTATGAAGCTAGGATATTCAACGTACGTTTACCCCCCGGATGACGCCTCTATCCGCGCCTGCTGAACACGTACGTTCGACAGATACGAGGGTCCCTCAGAGGGCTATGTAGCAACTATCACGGAACCCACTCGACAGGGTGGAATTGTCAGCATCTATTACTTCGGTACGCTTCTTGGCTGCCTAATGGGCGGCATACTCGGAGACAGGTATGTGGCATCTAATTTCGCTTGTGTCGACCTCGCCAACACTTGTGGGCAGAATTGGACGCATCAAGACTATGGTTCTCGGCAGTCTCTGGGTCCTCTTCGGTGCGGCGCTGCAGTGCTCCGCTCAGAACATTGCATGGTGCGTCCTAGCGTCCTCTTGAGATGTCTCCGACTGACCTCGGGGTAGGATGTGCTGCGCTCGCATCATCAACGGCATCGGCACTGGATACCTGAACGCTATTGTGCCCGTCTGGAGCGCGGAAGTGGCGACGCACACTTCTCGTGGCGCCTTCATCGCCAGCGAATTCACCCTCAACATCTTCGGCGTCGTCGTAGCTTATTGGCTGGAGTTCGGCCTCGGCTTCATTGGGGACGGCACGTCCCAAGTGCGCTGGAGGGTACGTAACTCAACTCAAGTCGTGCTTCTCAGTCGAACGTGACCTGACAACCCTCGGCGCATCTCTAGTTCCCGATTGCCTTCCAGATTGTACCGGTACTCGCATTCATGGTGTGTTCCATTCATATCATGACGTGTGCCGCTGCTCACTGTCCCACCTCCGCAGGCATGCCTTCCCATGATGCCGGGTATGTAGCGAGAAGCTGCCCTAGACACCTTGCTTTACGCTAACCTAGCCCGCACGCAGAGTCGCCGCGGTGGCTCATCAAGATGGGCCGTAATGCTGAGGCGCGCGAGATCCTCGGCCGCCTGCGCTCTGAGGACGGCAACATCGAGGCGCCTCAGGCCGTACGTGAATACGAGGATATCATCGAGACCGTCGCCCTCGAAAAGGAGCACGCGAGCCGTAACTCGTACCTCTCCATGTTCTTCGGGCGGAACGACGGCGGCCTCCATATCGCGCGTCGTGTTCAGCTCTCCATCTGGTTGCAGATTGTCCAGGAGTACGTCTATAGCATGACCTCTTACGACTCCTCGTGTCTGACCGCTTAAAATCGTTGCAGGTGGGTGGGCATTGCGGCTATCACCGTTTACGCCCCTACGATCTTCGCGGAAGCTGGCTATGGCGCTCGCAAGTCCCAGTGGCTGTCCGGCCTCAACGATGTGCGTACCTATCTCGATCGCCACACGTCCCAAGAAGAGCCTCCTGACAAGCATCTTACTTGTCGTGTAACAGATTACGTACATGTTGAGTACTCTGCTCGCCGTCGTCACCATCGACCGTCTCGGCCGCCGTATTGGCCTCTGGTGGGGCGCCGTCGGCCAGGGTATCTCGCTCATCCTCGCCGGCGCGTTCGCTCGTCTGCTCAAGGATCACCCCGAGAAGGCGTCGCAGTACGGTGGCGCGGCCGCGCTCTTCGTGTTCATGTACACCGCTATCTTCGGCGCGACGTGGCTCACCATCCCCTGGGTGTACCCGACTGAGACGTTCCCTCTCGAAGTTCGCGCGAAGGGCAACGCGTTCGGTGTCTTCGGCTGGTCGATCGGTGCGTAAAGTCTGCCTTGTTCTCAAGGGCTTCCCTCGCTTACTCCTTCACGCCTATATGCTTGTAGGTAACGGCTGGCTCACGCTCCTCAACCCCGTCATGTTCAACCGTATCGGTGAGAACACGCTGCACGTCTTCGGCGCGATCAACTTCCTCAGCATCCCGATGGTCTGGGCGTTCTACCCCGAGACCGCGAACCGCACGCTCGAGGAGATGGACTACCTGTTCATGAGCAAGAGCCCGTTCGTGTGGGACGAGGAGGAGAACTTCCGCCGCATGAAGGAACAGGCCGAGGAGGCGCGCCTCGAGGGCAAGACTGCCGCTGCCGCCGCCCCGGCGCTCCCCGCCACGCCGGCGTCGGAGGTCGTGGACGTCAAGGAGGAGAAGTAGGGAGCTGCCGCGCGTGGCGGTGTGTACGATCACGCCGGAGCGAGTGCGTTATAGACTAGAGCCAGCCTCCGGGCTTGGTCGTGTGTCGCAGCTTGTTATCGTGTACGAATTCTTGGGTTAATATTCGACGAATAGAAGCTTCTTCGATTCATTGTATCTAAGGCGGTCAGCTCATTGTTTCCGGGCCCCTTTAGGCTGCGAAGTGTCGCGTGGCGACTAGTCACTGGGACCTCCCTTCATCCGCGCAAGTGCGGCCGCGTATCGGGAAAGCTGGGCCAATTGCCTACCTGGCTGCCGCACCGTAGGTCGTGATAGTTTGCCTCATGCTACGGATATCGAGGTCAGGCGTGCCTGGTGTCTGCGATACGAGCGAGGAAAATAAATATCGAGACCCGTAGGTCTACCACTCCGGGAAAGCGTGTCATCCTTGTGCAGGGGCCATGCTAATCTTCTCTGTATCGTTCCAATTTTTTCGTATGTCACCCCGAAGGGGACATTAGACGGTGCCGGACGTAACGGTAGGCTATCGCAGAAGAGCGTTTCTCTCAACTGTCGGGTGGATGTGCCAGTTTGAGGCATCGCCCACGGTGCCGGAGCCCGCCAGCCTGCGATCCAGCCATGGGCATGTGGTGTAGTTGGTTATCACGCTCGCTTAGCATTTATGCAGGCTTGACAATGAATACTTGCGAGAGGGGTCCGGTTCGATCCCGGACATGTCCATGCTTTTTGGCTGCTGCTCAACGTTCCCCACTCGCTCTTCCTCCGCGAAATGCAAATGTTTTGCACATCTCCAGTGGCGCAGGATGTCTCTCATGGCGTTCCGAGAGTCGACGCATGTGAAGTACTTATGCAAAGACATGCCTGCATGGCGCAGTAGAAGTCTTGACAGTGTTCATGGCGCCGAGCCAATACCGTATTTGGGCTCGGGTCGTCGAGGAGGACCGTGACTCAGGGCAGGATCGCAACAGACGAGTTCGCGGTTACAACGTTTCGTCGCACTGGTGAAATATTTTGACTTGTGCATGGCCCTATTGGTGACAGTAAGCATGACTTCCGAGATGCGATGTGGCGCGGATTACCGACCACGGATTCAAGCCTGAGTATGGATTGAAGGATTCTCCTCAACTTCAGCAGAGCGAGTCGGCCGATGAACCACAGCACAGTAGCATAGATAGACAGCTCGCATAAGTACACTGACAGTCCACCAACGCGCCGTACGACATGGCGCGTATTCAAGTGCTTTGCAAGGCGAGAACGCATCGTGACAGTTCTGCCGTATCCATTTTGACATGTCATGGAGAGGCTCTCTCACAAACGATACGCTGAGAGCTGCGGGCTGTGGGAGCGACTACACTCGATTCCCGTTTGCAATTCATCTATACGGAAGACGTATCGATGCGTCTTACGAGCAGCTTACTTCGACCTCTTACGGCGCTCTTGTAGGGTATAGTGTGGGTGTTTGTCCGCTGAACATGCACTAAGGAGTCAAGGGTCTGCGCGACCGCAGCGTTGAGGTGTTGTGCTCGTCCCTCCCACCCTCAATAGAGCACATCGGAACGTCTGCCTAGGGGAGACTAGCGTTGAGGGGGGTGAGTTCAAGAACGAGGCTCGAACTTGCGCACTCTCCGAGGCTCGACGCCCTATATATATAGCAATATTTGCGGTGTGGGCAAGCACAGCCATCAAGACCGCTGCAACCGTCAAATATTTGAGAGCTTACTTGGTCAGAGGGCATGTGGTGTAGTTGGTTATCACGCTCGCTTAGCATCTGTACGGGCTTGCGAGAGGGGTCCGGTTCAATCCCGGACATGTCCATCTTTTGCTCTCCGTCCGGGCGCGCATACTGTTCGATCAGCGCTGCGAAGTCTCTCCTGGTGGTTCGTGCTTCCTTTCTGAGTACAAATCCAGACATCGCTTGGCAACGACAGCGGCGTGGGTTTTCGACCTCAGTCCTCTGTTGATATATTCCCCGCCACAGATGTTCTATGTATGCATGTTTGCATGACTTACGCCGAGCCTTGGCACTTGTCTGACCGAACGTCATTCATGAGCCCGCCGTTTTGGTCTCGCCTCTCGAACATGGGAGAACATGTCGGACATAGACTGCATGATCACCCGTTGATCGAAGTAAGAATACCGTGGGAATAGAACCTCTCTGAGACAACTTCAAAAGCTTGCGAGGACGGTTGGCGGCCTCAAGGTTTCTTGCCTTTTCCCCCCACCCTCCCCTCGCTGCCACAAGCCGTTCAGGCGCGCCGCTCGCTGTTCAAGATGCGCTTCTCGCTCGCTGCCCTCGCTCTCCCCATCGCTGCTGCCAGTACGTAAGCCGAAAGCTGCTGTAAGAACAGAGTAATTGACCTCGGATTCTACAGACGCGTTGACGATCCTCAGTCCTTCCGATTCCGCTTTCTGGTGAGTTTTCGGTTGGAAGGCGAAGCTCGCGCGAGTCCGTCATGAAGGAAGAAGATATTGACCCTCGCTCGTTCGTAGGGTTCAGAACACCAGTAACACGATCACCTGGACTTTCAACCAGGGCGACCCTGCTACCATCGATATCACTGTTGTGAACGCCAACAACGCGACCCTTAACGGACCCTTCTCCATCCAGTCGTTCGTCAATGTTTCTGACCAGGTATGTCCTTGCGGCGGATCAATGTATCTTCTTGCTCACAGGCTACCTTCAGACTTTCACTGTGTGAGTATACTTCCCAGACTTTTTGGGCCTTGGCTCCAGTGCGTACGAGGGGGGCCGTGGTGTCGCTGTATCGTGACATCGAGTCACTTTCCACATGTTCTCAGTGCAAGCTGTCAGTCGGCTATTCGGCCGTACTTGACAGATCGCGGGCTTCGTCCTTCGTTGATGATCACTCCGCCCGCATCCGTGGAACCCGATTGTTGCACTGAAGGTTATTGGACTGAGCAATGACTCACCACCCACTTTGTGCAGCACCAACGTCACTCTTCGTCCCGGGGATGGCTACCAGGTTCAGTTCGTCAACACCTCGAACATCACGCAGGTGTTCGCCAGCAGCGCACCCTTCTCCGTTAAGCCCCCTGGCAGTGAGTAGTAGCCTCCGTCCGCCCGGTTTTGCCCTACTGAGAACTATGCAGCTACCCCCGCTCCCCCTGTGAACGCCTCCTCGTCTGCCACGAGCTCCGGCGCGACTGCTTCGGCGACTTCGCCCAGTGGCACCAGCGGGAGCTCGACCTCCAGCGCTTCCGCTACCGGCGGTGCGAAGAACGGTGCGCTCTCGCTGACGAGCAGCCAGGGCGTATTTGGTGTCATTGCGGCCTGCGGCATCGCGTCGCTCTCTGCCCTCCTCCTCTAAGAGCCTTCGAACACCAGCGTGTGAAGAGCTCAGCCATCGCCCACCGCCCCTCTCCCTTGTGCAGCATATATCCCCCACCTTCACCCACCCTACTGTGAACAATGAACCCTGGCGCATCCCTATATCCGGCGTGTCCACTTTCGTTGATTCGTCCACTCCTTTCAGTCTCGGTTTTTGTTGTCTTGACGATGTGGTCCCTTCAGTTCGGGTTGTTCCCTGGATACCTGTAGGTGTACGCCCCTCCTAATCGTCTCTTGTCGTTTCCGCTGTCAGGGTCGTGTCGTCGTGCTGTGTAGTGTATGTAGCTTGTTCTGTTAGCTTACGCGCGCTACGTCCCGCATGTTCATGTACCCATGGTCAATTCGACTGCGCACTTCTGCGAACCTCGTCCCATTAGGCATGTTTGATTCTACTCAACCCCAGCACGACGCCCATCTGAGCAGAACTTAGCGCACATGTACCGCAATGCCGGGACGTCGATTGGCTATGTAAGGGAATACCGCTCTGCCGGATACTCTGCATCGCCGAGGGCGAAGTTCCCGCGAACGCCCCTTGGTACGAGCCACAATTCACACTCCCGCTCGGACGGTACCACGCTCTTCTCCATACCCGAGTCCTTGGCCTCGGGAACGCCAGCGGCGACGGCACAGGCAGGGCTGCTGCTCTTCAAAGTTCATGTCTTCGCACCATGCCCCCACGATCCGCCAACGCCAACGCCATGGCCGGCCCAAGCAACGCCCAGGACGAGCTCACAGCGACCGTGTTCGGGGCAGTTGAGTCGCTCAGCCAGGTCCGGAAGGCCCACTTCCTCCTGGAAACGTCTCTCGCTCTGATAGAGAGCGGAAGGTATGTGCTCGGCATCGTGCTGTCGAGTCCTGCTTTGTTGCATGCAGTCGGGCTCTAACTAGCGGCCATAGATACGGCGAGGAGGTGGAGAACTATCTGGATGTCTACCTACGCACACCCGGCCTGGAGAAGCAGGATATTGCGAGGGCTCTGCTGGCTCGGGGGAACGCACGCAAGACTGCAGGAGACAAGCTCTTGGCGCGGGCGCAGCAGGATTTCCAGGCAGTGGCCAAGCTGGACCCCTCGAACCGTGAGTTGCAGGGGTATCTCAGGCGAAGTAACATGGTGAGTGTGCCTTACATCCTGGTGCAGCGACGAGAATAGGTGGTCCCGCGCAAGAGCGGCAGAGCCTTCCCCCTGCACATACCCTGGCTATATGCGCGCCAGCACGCCTCGGGCACATTGTGCGCTGACCTCCCTTACGACTGGGGCGTCCCGGCGTCCCGCTATGTTTCAGGCTTCCTCAGAGGGAGGAACTTGCAGCGCTATTGTTTGTTGTTGGATAGCCATCGGCTGACCCGACATAATTGCACCTGTAGATACACTTCGTAGACGAGCCGGCCTCGCAACGTGCACCGCCAGAGATTTGGGAGCTAATCGCCCGCTTCATCCCCCGGTATCATCTCCGCAGCTGGCTCTTTGTGTCTGCATTCCACAGGGACATAGCAGTGCGGCTAATCTTCCACACGATCGACCTCTACTTTGGCGAGGACCAAGATCTCAACCGCGGCTTGGACATCTTTGACAGGGTAAAAGCGGACCCGGTGTTTGCCAGCCGTGTCAAGGCTCTGCGCCTGCACTGGGCGTACGAGGAAAATGACATGTTCGACCTCATGACACGTAGGTCGCTGCTTCCCACTCCACCGCCGTGTGCGCGAGCTAAGGAACGGCTCTCAGGAATGTTCAAGTCCGCGTTGCCTGCATTCATCGCTCTGCGGGAGTTCGAATGGATAGGTTACCCGGAGTTGCGAGCGGAGATGGTTCAGGCAGTCCTTCAGACGCATCCGAATCTGCAGACACTCGGGCTCATAGGCTGGCACTTCGATGCCGTTGGGGTTGTGAGTTCGCATATTCTGGAAGCGCTGACCGTGCACCAGCTGATGCAGAGATGATAGTCCGCATTCCGCGGCCTCCGCAAGTTCATCTTACGCGCTGAGGACGATGACGGCTTCGCAGACATGGGCGAGGTCCGGACGGTTCTCGACCAAAATCAGGCGACGCTTCGGCACCTCACGCTGGGCGCGTATCTGCAGCGGAACCACTCGTGGGACCACGCGTTCCAATCCGCGACCATTCGCAACCTCACTCACCTCGAACTCGTGGACACTCGCATCTCGCACGTCGTGCTGGCACGGATAGCTCACGCACACCGGCTCGAGAGCCTCACCCTGCATGGCACTTTCGAGGAGCCGTGCTCGGCAAGCGTCGTGTTCGGTAGCGATCATATCATTGACGGCGTACACACGTTCCTGCCGCATCTGGAGGAGTTCCGATTCATTATGGTCGGCCACGACGATGATCTGAATTTGTTCCAGTCCGTCACGC